TCCGTCTGTAATCCGCAGGGAGATAGACGACGTGATCAGCGCTGACCTGCACGCTCTCAGGGTGAGGGGCTGCCCGGGGTCGGGGTGGGGGCCCTCTTGGCTACAGCTAAACTCCCCCCATCACGCAGGCCCCCAACATTCCCCTGGACCTGGGGTTGAAGCTGCTGTTTCAGGAGCTGGCAGGAGAGGTGAGGAGGGGGCTGCGGGGGTCCCGCCCTCCCCTGGAACTGCTCCTCCACCCTGTCTAATTTTCCTTTCCATTTCCCCCTCTTAAATCTCTCAAAATGCTCACAGCTCCTCCCTGCCTCAGGGCCTTTGCTCAGCCTGGGAATTCTCATCCTTTGTGCCCCCCTTCCCGGTCTTCCAACGTGCCCTTCGCTGAAAGCTCTCCTGACCCTCCCAGGCTGGTCAGCCACATGCCCGTTATGGGTTTCCGCAGCCCCGGGCTTCCCCATTGCAGCCCTGACCACCCTCCTGGGCTGTGAGCTCTGGAGAGGGCTGGCCTGGGCTGCCTTTGCCTGTCCCCAGCACCGCCCAGCATGTTGCTCCGCTGGGCCCAAGAGCCCCTTGTTGAACGGCTGCCTGAGTGAATGGCCTCATCACCGGCTCTCTTTGACCAGGAGGAAGAACTCAGTGCCCCTCAGCTCCAGACCTTATTAAGCATTGCCCTGGAGCCTGGTGAGCTGGGACGAGAGTGGTCCTCACAGGGCCCCCGATGTGTGGGAATCCGTGATGCTGCTGGGAGTCAGGCCACAGGAAGCCTAGGCTGCCTGAGGGCATTTCCTCACACGCGGGCCTTGCGGCAGGACCAGTACCAAGGCCCAGCCACTCATAAGCCCCCCTCCCCTGAGGGACAGGCAGGGAGTGTGGCTGCTACTAGCACTCAGAACTCCCTCGCCTGGGTTCAGATCCTGGCTGTTAGGTACCAGCAGTCCTTCGTGTGCCTCAGCGTCTGTAACATGGGGGTGCAGTAATCCCAGCACTCACAGGCGGCCAGCCACGGGAGCTTGGGTTTGTTTGTTCCCGTAGCCAGGGCCCACAGCTGGACCACCGGAGAGATCGGGCTCAGGACCTGTGAGCAGCTGCTGCAGTGCTTCGGGGTATGTAGGGAGCTGTGCCTGGTAGGGAGGGTGGTGATGTTGGGGCCTCTGCTCCCCTTCTGGGGACATTGACTTAACCAGATGTCCCTCTCCAGCATGGCAGAAGCCTGGCCCTGCACGACTTCCAGCAGGTCTGGGGCCACCTCCGGGAGTGGCAGGTAAGGTGACTTGGGTGGAACCATCTCCTGGGCGGAGAAGACTTTACTAATAGGGACGCAGATGCTCTGTGGGCTACAGGGCCCCTGGGGAGTTAGGGGACTGGGCCACAGCACGCCATCTTGGAGGGATCTGGCTAGGATATCCCTGCTCCATCACCCTCTGTGGTCCATGTAGAGTGGGGGTGGGAAACTTATTTTCTGCCAAGGGCCATTTGGGCATTTATAACATCATTCATGGGCCATATAAAATTATTGTCTTAAAAACTAGCCTGCTATATTTAGACAAACATTTAACTCACCCTTAATGCCTTGGCAGGGCCAGAACAAATGATTTCAAGGGCCTTCTACGGCCTGCGGGCCGGACATTCTCCATTCCCTGCTCTAGGGCATCAAGAAAGAACACTGGCTCTGGTCTGGGTTGGCATTTTAGCTCCCAGCTCAGCCCCTGTCTGGCTGTGTGATCACAGGCCAGTACCTCCCCTTGGAGCAACTTTGCTTGTCTAGCAATGGGAGGTGGTGGTCCTCCCTCCACCCCCAAAACCCATGTGAGAAGAAAATGGTCTAAGGCTTCTCTGTACTAATAATGGTGATAAGCCACCATTTATTGTGCCCTCAGTAGGCCCCCTGTGGGTAATCTTAGCGTGTCCTCACAACCACCTCATTACAGCTCTCATTACTGATCCCATTTTACAAACTGGGAAACACAGACCCAGAGTGTAAAGCTGCTTCCCCACGCCACGAAGCCAGGAAGAGAGGGAGTTGGGGTGGGCACCCAGCCTGTCGGGCCCCTGAGACACCCTTTCAGGCAGCTCAGGAGCCTGGCGGGGACTGACCTATTCCTCCCCACCCAGGCCATATTCGACAAGTTCGACCAGGACACCTCTGGTACCATGAACTCCCATGAGCTGAGGCTGGCGCTGAATGCTGCAGGTATGGACAGAGGCCTTGGGGTGAGTCGTGAGGACAGGATTGGCTCCCCCTTCTGCCCCGTCCTCTTCAAGTCCTAGCAGCTCACCCAACTGCCAACACCCACAAAGTCGAGCTCTCAGCTTGTTGCCAGCTCTTGGCAGGGACTGAGAGGCCGCAGGGAGAATCCTGTGTGGGGAAAGGAAGGTGTGAGAGGTGATGGGCCAGGGAGGGCATGGGAGCTGGTATCTGAGAGGCCCTGGTCCCCAGGGCACCGTGGCAGAACGTCCTGTGTTCCCATGAGCTTGGGTTGGAATCCTAACTACGGACTTAACTCCTTGGGGCCCTTCCCTAGGCATGTGAGTCCATCCCCTTGAGCCTCCATTGCCTCCTATAAGCGGCTCCAACACTGAGCGGCTGCAAGAGTTCAACATTCCCCCTTGTGTGGAGGGGGCAGGGGAGGGAAATCAGACAGGAGCTCCTAGACCCCCACCCACCCCTCAGCAAAGTGAAGGGTAAGACATCGGGAGATCAAAGATCCAGGGATGTGCAAGGAAAGTAAAGAGCCCAAGACAGAGGGGGAGGGATGGAATCAGAGAGGATGGGGAGACAGGGACAGGGAGAAACAAAGCCCCAGACAGACAGAAGCAATGGTGAGAGAACAAGGAGAAGGTGCAAGTTTGTACTTAGTATCACTGAGCACCTAGTATGTGCCTGGGGTACTAGGCGGAAGAAAACTGATCAAGTGCCCTTGAGGTTCTATGGTACAAAAGTAAATAGAACTCCTAGGTCAGATGGTGGTAAGTGCCAGGGCAAAAGAAAGCAGGGCTGGGTGCCAGGGCATGCAGGGATGGGTGGGGTGAGACAGGGTGGTCAGGGAAGGCCTTGCTGAGGTGTGAGCAGAGACCTGAAGGGAGTGAGCTTTGGGGACACTGGGGCAAGTGTTCCTGATAGAGGGAACAGTGAGCGCAAAGGCCGAGGTGTGAACCTTACCCTGAGGGACTGGTGTGAAGGAGGGGCCCCCTTGGAGATAACACAGGGGCCTGAAGCCAAGTGGGAGGGGAGTGGTGGTCAGAGTAAGGATTGGTGGTGGGGGTGGTGGGAGACAGGAGAGCCCACGGGGCATCGTGAGGACTTTGGCTCTTTAAAACATTTTAAATTATGTGTAAGAGGGAAAAGGGAGAGGCAAGTCCAGGTCAGGGTGCAGGGGCTGGAGTGACGGCAGCATCTAGAGAAGGGAAAGCCAGGGAGGGGACCAGCAGGAAGCAGGCTCTGAGACCCAGGAACAGGTAGGGTGTCAGGATGGGGGATTAGCAGGAGCAACAGCCCTGTTCCAATTCAGTCACATTCTTGGCTCCATAGAGTCCTTGAACACCTGCTCTGCTCACGGCCCTGGGCAGGCTGATGTTGGGACTCAGGGTGACCAGAGTCACGCTGACCCCCCACGGCTTCCAGTCCAGAGGCAGCAGCTACCAGTGACAGTGACAGCCCAGAGTGGTCAGGGTGGGGGTGGGGGAGGCCCAGGGAACTGTGGGAGCCCAGAGGTGCTCGGTGCTGCGTGCTGGGTTATCTATGGGGGTTTTCTGACGTGTGAGATGAGGAGGAATGCCTTGGGCCAAGAGGGAAA